TAGATTTTTGACTACCAAGGCGATACAAGACAATTGGGAGATGCAGGATTGGAGAGTTGGGATTAAAATCTGATGAGCCACAATCTTATTGAAAGGTGAGCAGGCTTGAAGGGCCAAGTGCTTACTGTTGTTCCTCATTCTTATACTGGGAGGGAGCTGGGCAGTGATACTAATTTTGCTGTCTCAAAGAGCTGGCACATACTTGATGGGTGGCAAATTCCCGAACGTCTGGACATTACTGGTGGATGTAATGGCAGTACTGAGCCTGCACTGACCAGCAGTGTGACAGGCAGCATGACCTCCCATGATACAGTGCCCTAATTGGCCAGCTCATCACTTGCTGTCTGACGGGTCACTGAGTATATTCACGAAAGAGATTCATATATTTTTAGAGGCATCAAGGGGAATGGAGAGAAAACAGCAAAGTGACACCGAGATAGAGGATCAGCTACGATCATGCTGACTGTTGAAGCAGGCCCGAAGGGCTGAATGGCCTGTTCCTGCACCTAATTTCACTCTCAGCTGAAGTATTTAATTTGTTGATTCCTTTGCTACTTCTAGGCTCAATCACTCTGATGTTCTCAAAACCTCCCATTCTCTACCCTCTATTAAGTTCAACATTTCCAAGATTCTGATGCTGTATTCTAATAAACAGCGTGCCTCCTTCACCCATTACCCTTGCACTCACTGACATACAACCATTTAAATTTAAAATGTTAATCTTTATTTTCAAATCACTTTATGTCCTTACCCTTTCTCTTTTCTCATCTCCTCCAACTCTACAACATCCAGTATCTTTGCTCTTCCAATTTTGGCTGTACCTCCCTGCAATTTCCTACCTAAACCTTTTTGCCGTACTACTTGTGTCCTCATTTAAGAAACTCCTTCAAACCTACTACTATGGATAAGTCTTTGATAACTTGCCCTAATAACTCCATGCATAGCTTATTGTCAAATTTTATCTGATAATCCCCCTGTGAAGTGCTTTGGAATGTTTTGTGATGTTAAGACTAGTATATAAATGCAGGCACTTGTTAAAGGCAGAAGAAATAGTGGCTCAAGTAGAATCTTTGGAGCCTACTGTACCATTCAATAAGATCATGGCTGATCTTCTGCCTGAACTCCACTTTGCTGTTGCATCTCCACAATCTTTTAAACGGTTAGACATCAAAAATCTTATCAATCTTAGTTTTGAATATATTCAACAACTAAGCATCCAGAGCCTTCTGGGTTAAAGAATCCCAGAGTGTTGTGGGTAAATCACCAGAAGAGATCTGCAATCCGACCCCACCACCAAAGACATCTTTCCCTCCTCACCCTTATCTGCTTTCCGGAGGGACCACTCTCTCCGTGACTCCCTTGTCCGCTCCACACTCCCCTCCAGCCCCACCACACCTGGCACTTTTCCCTGCAACCGCAGGAAGTGCTACACCTGCCCCCATACCTCCTCCCTCACCCCCATCCCAGGCCCCAAGAAGACTTTCCACATCAAGCAGATGTTCACCTGCACATCTGCCAATGTGGTATATTGCATCCGCTGTACCCGTTGTGGCCTCCTCTACATCGGGGAAACCAAGCGGAGGCTCGGGGACCGCTTTGCAGAACACCTACGCTCGGTTCGCAATAAACAACTGCACCTCCCAGTCGCGAACCATTTCAACTCCCCCTCCCATTCCTCAGACGACATGTCCATCCTGGGCCTCCTGCAGTGCCACAACGATGCCACCCGAAGGTTGCAGGAACAGCAACTCATATTCCGCTTGGGAACCCTGCAGCCCAATGGTATCAATGTGGATTTCACAAGCTTCAAAATCTCCCCTCCCCCTACTGCATCCCAAAACCAGTCCAGCTCGTCCAAAAAAAAAAAAAAAAAAAAAAAAAAAAAAAAAAAAAAAAAAAAAAACCCCCATCTCCTACCTACTAACCTCATCCCACCCCCTTGACCTGTCCGTCCTCCCTGGACTGACCTATCCCCTCCCTAACTCCCCAACTACACTCACCTTTACTGGCTCCATCCCCGCCTCTTCGACCTGTTTGTTTCCTCTCCACCTATCCTCTCCTCTATCCATCTTCTATCCGCCTCCCCCTCTCTCCCTATTTATTTCAGAACCCCCTTCCCCTCCCCCATTTCTGAAGAAGGGTCTAGGCCCGAAACGTCAGCCTTTCTGCTCCTATGATACTGCTTAGCCTGCTGTGTTCATCCAGCTCTGCACCTTGTTGTCTCGGATTCTCCAGCATCTGCAGTTCCTACTATCTCCGAGATCTGTAATTTGGCTACTTATTAAGAAATCTCAGAGACAGTCAAGTACTGAAACAATGATTTAAATTTTATTGCGTATAGCAACCAAAATAAATAGCTCAAATAAACAAATTAAACCTTACAACTCAACATGACTATTATCTGATTAATGATGAAATCTGGCTAGGATTCCACCAACCTGTCTCTGGAAAGTGTCCAGGGTTTGATCCTTCTGCAGTGTTGTTCTTCGAAGTTCTGCTGAGGATGGAATTCTGGTGTTCAGATCTTATACAATTTTCTCTCTTTCAAGTTTGTTGTGTGACCTTATTGGTGCTGCAATAGATTCTTTCATTCTCAACATGGATTACACTTTTGGAGATTCAAATCTGTAGCTTGCCTTCTTATCAGAAATAGCGCCCTGTTCTCTGTTACAGTCAGGGTTAGCTGTCAGTTTGAAACACAGCTTTTCCTGCAATTAACCTTTTCACTTCAGACTATTCCTTCTGCAGGCAGTTTTAATTGTCACGAGGCAGCAGATTACCAAGCAGTTGTTATCATCTAAATAAAAACCGAACAAACTGTGGATGCTGCAAATCAGGAACAAAAACAAAGTTGCTGGAAAGCTCAGCAGGTCTGGCAGTATCTGTGGAGAAAAAAAATCAGAGTTAACGTTTTGGATCCGGTGACCCTTCCTCAGAACTGATGGTGGCTGGGAAAACGTCAGTTTATATGCAGAAAAAATGGGAGGGGGATGGGGTCGGGAGTAAATGATAGGGTAGACCCTAAAGAGAGAGAAGAGCAGTTGGACAGACAAAGAGTTGATAACGATCAGGCTGGGAGGGTGAATAGTTGTTAATGGGGACTATTGGTGACTGACAACAGGTGGTGTGTAATGGCAGGCTACGTGGTAACAAGGCCTGGTGTGTGGGGTAGTGTTGCATCACCTGGAAGATATGTTTGGCCCCTTGGATACTGGGGAGGGAGGAGGTAAATGGGCAGGTGTTGCACCTTCAGGGGAAGGTGCTGTGGGGCTGTGTTGGGGTGAAGGAAGTGTGGACCTGCCCATTTACCTCCTCCCTCCCCAGTATCCAAGGGGCTAAACATATTTTCCAGGTGATGCAACACTTCACCTGCACTTCCCAAAATCTAATCTACTGCATTCGCTGCTTACAATGTGGTTTTCTCTACACTGGGGAAACAAAGCGTAGACTGGGTGACCGCTTTGCAGAACATCTACGTTCTACTCGCAAAAAAGACCCTGAACTACCTGTTGCCTGCCACTTTAATGCACCAACCTGTTCCCTGGCCAATATCTCTGTCTCTGGCTTGCTGCAGTGTTCCAGCGAAGCTCAATGCAAGCTGGAAGAACAACACCTCATTTTCTGCTTGGGGACCCTGTAGCCCTCCGGACTCAATATCAAGTTCAATAATTTTAGGGCCTAAACTCTCCCATGTCCCAGCCCCCTACCCCACACACCAGGCCTTGTTACCACATAGCCTGCCATTACACACCACCTGTTGTTAGTCACTAATAGTCCCCATTAACAACTATTCACCCTCCCAGCCTGATCGTTATCAACTCTTTGTCCAACTGCTCTTCTCTCTCTTTAGGCTCTATTCTATCATTTACTCCCTACCCCATCCCCCTCCCCTTTTTACTGCATATAAACTGACGTTTTCCCAGCCACCATCAGTTCTGAGTAAGAGTCACTGGATCCGAAACATTAACTCTGATATTTTCTTCATACATGCTGCCAGACCTGCTGAGCTTTTCTAGCAACTTTGTTTTTGTTGCAGTTGTTATCTTCTCTCTCCCAGGAAACACTGTGTTTATGTTGTTTCTTCCCAAAAATGGTTAATTCACATGTTGCTTTTAATTCCTTTATAGCAGTTTCTCTTTGCCCCTTTCATCTCAAGGAACATTTTATTCCAGGAAGAGTTAGTGTTGATTCTTTCAATCCATGAACAGTTACTAAAGTTGTGAAGTTTACGTTGTTACAAGAGATTCACACCTTTTTGAGTGAAGACATTCTTCTTTTTTCAGTCTTAGATGGCTGGCTCCTTATTCTTAGCGTTTAATCCCTAGACTCTTCACACAGGGCAAACCACCACTTGCCATCTTGGTTATCTCTCATTCTTCTAGAATATAGGCTCATCTTAGTCACTCACTCCTCATAGGCAACCTTGTCAACCTAGGAACCAATCCAGTGAACATTCATTGTCCTACGTTAAGGCTGGTATGTCCCTCCTTACCTATAAAGACCAAACTTGTGCACTTTACTCCTGGTGTTATCTCAGTAAAGCCCTAAATAAATGAAGTTGCTGTTGTAGAAATCCTTGATACTATAGACACCTTATTGATGAAACCGAAGGGCTTCAGGCCTATGCTTCCCCACCTTCAGCACAATTAATACCAGCCAGCTCTCATCATTGAATTCTGGTTAATGCAGCTAATAATTGCCAAGATTGGGCACAAGTTATGGGGATATGCAGCTTTCTTGCATGTATACTGCATTACTAAACTAAAGGAATACCTTGGATCTTTTCTAAGTTACAGAGTCACAGATGTCAAGAGTATGTCGCCATCATCAGCTTTGGGTATTTTTACAGTAAATGGATTACTTATAGGTATTCAATTCCAAAATTTCCTCCAGTCTTGATCCTCGTAATTGCTTTGTCAACATGTTCATCTCTTTGTTGTAAACACTTTCCTGTTTGTTTTTTTGTGTGTTTTTTTTTCTCATTTCCTCCATGCTTGTAGTCACTAAGAGACGCAAAGCCCATCTGCGGCGGCTGGACCGGAGGTGGACTCTGGGAGGAATGTGTAACCGCCAACAAAGCCCAGGTGAAGAAAGCTGTGCACTCTCTTACAGCATGTGCAATTTCATGTTTAATTCTGTGACTGCAAGAAAAGAGAAGTGGTGTAAGATTAAATATTTGGCACTCCACAATACTTCTCTTTCTAAACAAAAGGATGGTCTAACCTCTGAGGCAACTGGGTGTGTGTACATATGTCTTGTGTTTCTGTCTGTGTGCCATTTCGAGTGGTTTCTGGTGGTTTTGACTTAACTTTTCATTTGTTACATTTCCTTCTGCAAATCTTTATTTTCAGCACCCACTACAGTAGGTGCAAACAAAGCCTGGGCCAGATTGAGTAGTGTCAATTTTAACTTCAAAGTAAAGCATTAATGGATAATTCTGCAATAAATCTATAAGTATGGTTTTTAAAATCACTTCATAGAAAACTCTTAAAATGAATGCGGTAAACAGAAATAATTGATGATATTCTTTAAATGATGGTGGATGTCAATATTACAGAAGATGTGAGAGTTATGTGGCTGAAAGAGGGGATGTTGACCCAAATGCAACAAATCTTTAATAGCTTGACAATAGAATTGTTTAGTAAGCTTGCTGTGGTAAATTCTAATGAAATAATTTTCCTAATGCCTCACCATCTGTTGAATCCATCTGACCTAAATCTGTGGCCCCAGATTTTGTTCCTGTGTTTCAACAGCTGAAGAGGAATCATATTGGACTTGAAACATTAACTCTGTTTCTCTAAGATGCTGCAAGACCAACAGAGTTTCTCTAGAACTTTGTTTTTTATTTGAAATTGTATCAGGTTGTGATAATTCTTGCTTGGAGTCTTTTGCTATGGAGATCATTAATTAATCCTGTCTTATTATACATTATCAGATCTAAACTAGACTATCTCAGATTGGTTATAGAATGTAATGTCCTCAGAAACTGTCCCAAAAGTCCTAAAGGTTACCTCCACCACTTTGATTTGTCCAATCTATGTGAAGATGAAAATTGCCCATGATTATTGCAGTACCTTCCTTACAAGCCCTCATCCACAACAAAGCAGCCTGATTTGATGGCAAATCATCTGCTAACTTAAAATATTCACTCCCTCCAACACCGATGCAAAATGACAGCAGTACGTACTAGTTACAAAATGCATTGCAGCAACTCATCAAACATTCAACAGCACCTTCCAAACACGCAACCTCTATTATGTAGAAGAGCAGTAGATGTACGTCATGGCCACTGCCTGCAAGTTGCCTTCCAAAACATACTCCATCCTGACTTGGGAGATTATCACCATTCCTTCACTATCACTTAATCAGAATCCTGGAGCTCCCTAACAACATAGTAGGTGTACCTGCACCAGATGGACTGCAGCAGTTCAAGAAGGCAGCTTACCATCACTTCTCAATAATTTAAGAATGAGCAATAAATGCTGGGCTAGCGAATCAATTCTAAATCCCAATAAATTTATACTATGAGTTACAATGTAGCTACTGCTATTGGACCCATAAACTACTTCCACCAGTGATTTGAGATAACAAGGTGTAGAGCTGGACGAACACAGCAGGCCAAGCAGCATCAGAGGAGCAGGAAGGCTGACGTTTCGGGCCTAGACCCTTCTTCAGACCACCGGTGATTTCTTTCCTTTGCTATTTCCTTTCTTCACCTGTACTGATTCTACATCTTGCTCAACAGAGCTACCCGAACTCCTTTCCTTTCTTCCTATTCTTCTAACATGTCACATACCCTTGAATATTTGGTTTCCAGCCTTAGTCATGTTGCAACCGTGTCTCTGCAATAACTAAAGCACAAATACTTTTATTTGTATTATCAGTTCATCATGTCACGAATGCTTTAATTCTATCTTTTGATTTTTACTTTCCTGCTCTGTTTTCCTGGTGCACTCATATGTTTGTGCGCTCTTTCCTTCCCGTCTCACTCTGGTTATGCCTCTTTCACTAACCTGATAAATTGATCATGTCTTAGTAAAAGCAAATGCAGGGGGTCCCCAATTTACTAATGTGCAATTCACAAACGCTTATACCTACGAATGCGACCCCATACAGGGGCGTAATTTTAATGATCTGACATACGAACATTTGCTGTACTTTGAACTGCTAATTTATGTTGCCCTGCATTGTGTTCTGACATGCGTACAAATTGACTTGTAAATGGACTGAAGAATAGAACATTCACAACCTGGGGACGGCCTGTAATGTGGATGCTGGAAATTGGAAATAGAAAGAAAAAAACTGCTGGAGAAACTCAGCAGATCTGGCCACATCTGTGAAGAGAGAAACAGACTTAATTTTTCAAATCTGGTATGATTTCTTCAAAATTTCTCGTTAACATTCTGAATCTCCTCTGGCATGAACTTTCTCTCCTCTTCACCATCATTTTGCCCTTGTTCTATGATTTGCTAGACATTGGTCTCCACAATGTGCAAGTGAAGGCCATCCCAATGGTATAGCTCCCTCTTTCCCCAGTGCTAGGGCCATGCCCATGAATTGAAAATTTACATGCTACATATATCACTGCACTTCAATTATCACTGGGTCAAAATCGTGGCACTGCCTCCTTAACAACTCTGTGGGTGTGCCTTTGCGCAGACTGCAGCAGTTCAAGAAGGCAGCTCAATATCACTTTCTCAAGGTCAATTTGGGATTGCCATCACTGTCCATAACCTGAGAATGAATTAAGAAACACAGACCTTTCAGCTGTTAAATTCTAATTATCTAGTCAGGATTTAACTCGGCATGTTATGCCAGTTTACAAATTAGAATAATATTTCTGTGAATACACCTGTACACTACATGTGTGTGTGCTAATAAAATGTACTATACCTACCCAGTGTGTACTTCATCCAATTTGTTCCCTCCATTGCCCGTTCGTATTTCACTCCATTTCCACGTTTTTCTGTTCCAAATCTGTGCCATCTACAAACATCGTCCCCACTGCTGAACAAAGCAGCAGTGTAATACCACACACAATCAGTTTCAGTAACTTATTTTTAAAAATGCAACAGTTCCTTCCACAGTCTTTGGTTTTAAAATAGTCTATCTTACATTTTGGTCCATAATTAAAAGTACAGAAAATACAATGATAGGTACAGAATCAAAGGGTAAAAGGGATGAAGAAACTTACTAGTTACCATGGAGAAGGTCCTGAGAAAATGATTAGAACCAAAAGCTGAGACCCAGTTCCTGATGGACTTCATCCTAAGGTTGTAAAAGAAGTGGCTGCTGAAATAGTACGTATGTTGGTTTTAGTTTTCTGAAATTCTCTAAACTCTGGAAGGTTCAGCAGATTAGAACATTGCAAATGTGAGTCCTCTTTTCAAGGAAGGGGAGACAAAGAAAACCCAAGAAACCACATGCTACATAGCTTAACATTTGTCACAAGCAAAATACTGAAAAGTTCATAGATATGGATGTTGCTGGCTAGCATTGCTTAAATATCCCTAGTTGCCCTTGAGAATGTGATGGTAAGCTGCCTTGTTTAATTGCAGCATCCATTTGATGTAGGTGGACTCAGAGTGTCATTGGGAGGGGATTTGACCCTGTGACAGTGAAGGCTGGCAATATATTTCCAAGTCAGGATAATGAGGGCTTGGGGAGGAACTTGCAACTGGTGTTGTTTCCTTGTATCAACCACCCGTGTCCCCAGATTTTAGTGGTTGTGGTTTTGAAGGTTAATGTCTAAGAAAAGTGGTGAATCTCTGAACTACATCTTGTAAATGGTACACCCTGCTGCAATTGAGCTTATGTGGTCAAGGGACTGAATGTGCTGCCAGGTAACTTAGAAAATCTCAGTAAGATTAGGAAGAGTCAGCATAATTTTGTGAAAGGGTATATTCCAAAGAAGAGTAATTGGATTTGAAAGAATAACTCTCTTTCTCTCTCCACAGATGCTACTAGACCTGATGAGTTTCTACAGCAATTGGGGTTTCTATTTCAGATCTCCTGCATTTGCAGTATTTTGTTTTAATTTGTGAAAGCGAAATTGTATTTGACTAAGTTATTAAAGCTTCTGAGGAAGTAATAACAGCAATGTGAAAAAAGGGGATCCTCTGGACGTGTTATACTTGGATTTCCAGAAGGCATTTGACAAGCTGCTACAACAAGTATTACGATGCAAAATAAAAGCACATCAAGTAGGGAATAACCTAACAATATGGATAGAAGAATGGTTAGCTAACCGAAAACAAGGATTAGGGATAAATGGGTAACTTCAAAATTTTTGAGAAGATTTGTGCTGGGGTTGTGGATGAAGTTGTAGATTTGTTTGTCAAACTGGTGTATTTGATTGCAGACATTTCGTCACCTTGCTAGATAACATTATCATTGCGCCTCCGGTGAAGCATTGGTGTTCTGTCTTGCTTGTTATTTATATGCCTAGGGGCCTGCGTAGTCTTGTGGTCATCTTTGACATGTCTCTGATGTACGGTAGGGTGACTAATGTGTCTGGCCGTGTTATGTCTTCTTGTTGTGGTCTGTTGCAGAGGTAACATCGGATTGTGCTTTTTTGGCTATCCTTTCCTTTTTAGAACTCAGTATAAGCGCTCCTGTTCCGCTTTGCGCAATTCTGGTTTGCTGCAGTGTATTGTGGCTTGTTTGAATAATGTCCTGATGTAGTTCCATTTATGGGAGTTGGGGTGGTTGCTGGTGTAATTAAGTATCTGGTCTGTATGCGTGGTCATTCTGTGTACGCTGGTCTGGAGTTCCCCATTGTTCTTATGTTCTACCATTATGTCTAGAAAGGGTAGTCAGTTATTGTTCTCTTCCTTTTTTGTGAATTTTATTCCAGTGAGAATGTTGTTTATGTGTCAGAGTGTTTCTTCTAGTCTTATGCGTTTGATAATCACAAAGACGTCATCTACATAGTGGACCCAGAGTTTGGGTTGTATAGTGGGGAACGCTGGCCGTTATAACTGTTGCATTACCACTTCTGCAATCAGTCCTGATATTGGGGATCCCATTGGTATTCTGTTAAACAACATTGTGCAAAGCAGAACAGGAGCACTTACACAGAGTT